TCTCTCTCTAGAAACATATATCATGTTTGCAATAATTTACCTTCTTTTCTAAATAGGCACAGTTCCCTTACCCGATCCCACGCTCACTCAAACACACACATACACACACACACACTCATGCACAAAACCATTTTTCTCCATTCCAATTCAGATCCTATAAATCAATTGCTTTGTGAAACATCTGTGGAAAAAATTCAGGTGCTCAGACATGAAAATGTGCCGCTCAAACACTATACTTTTCCGCACACACTGAAAAAAAAATTAGATGGAACATTGCCTTAGAGGTCATTTAGTCCAACCTCCCCCCCCCCAATTTCTGACAGAGGGCAGTCCAGTCCAGTCTCTTTTTGAAAGCCTCAAGGGATGAAGCTCCCACAACTTCCAAAGGCAAGTTGTTCCATTCAATATAGAATAACAGAGTTGGAAGGGACCTTAGAGGTCATCTAGTCCAACCCTCCACCTGCCCAAGCAGGAGACCCTACACCATTTCTGACAGATGACAGTCCAGTCCCTTCTGGAAAGCTTCCAGTGATGAAGCTTCCACAACTTCCGAAGGCAACTTCTGATGGTCCTCACTATCAGAAAGTTCCTTCTTGGCTTGGCCGCCAGAGGGATCCAGCAGCTCGAGGCCTCTGAAGCAGAAGGCCTGGCACATGGGTTGTCATGGCAACGCGAGCGGGAGATCGATAGGTGCCACCTCGCCTCCCTCCTCCAATGGTCAGGCGCGATTTCCGGATGCGCCCGCCCCTTCCGCTGGCTGGCCGCCTTTCTCCGTCCCCTGCGCAGTGACGCCGTTGCCATGGCAGCAAAGCATCCTGAGGCCCAGCCGCGCCGATGCCCAAGCTGCCGCTCTCGCCGGTGCCCGAGCAGGAGGCCGACGCGGCGGGGGAGCGGCTCTCCGGCGGCGCGTCCTCCGTGTCCCTCGCTTCGAGCGCCTCCAGCTCGCGGAACTCAAAGGCAAGGAGGAAAGAGCTGCCTTCCCCCCGCCCTCTGCAGCTGAAGTCGGACCTCAACTCTCATTACCCCCGAGGCTGGGGATGATGGGAATTGTAGTCCAGCGGGGACAAACTGACGGGATGGGCCGGGTCCGAGTGGTTGTTTTTTTTTTTTTTAAGGAATGATGGTAGACCTCGGCAGCATGCCAGCTGCGGATGCGGGTGGTTGTAGTCTAATACATCTGGAATCGGGGAACTTCGGCGGGGGTGGGGGTTGGTCTAGATGACCTACAAGATCCCTACCAACTCTCTTAATCTGTCTCTCTGAGCTGGGGATGATGGTGGTTACAGTCCAAAAGAGAGAATGCTGCTTTGGGGTTTTATTTTTATTCATGCAGGTAGTCCTCAACTTACGACTACAATCGAGCCCAAAATTTATGTTAAGTGAAAAATTTGTTGAGCGAGTTTTGCCCAGTTTTTACTATTTTTCTTTGCATTTCATTCAGTGACTCACTGCAATTATTAAATGAATAACATGGTTGTTAAGTGAATCTGGCCTTCCCATTGACTTTGCCTGTCAGAAGGTCGCAAAAGGGGATCACGTGACCCCAGGATCCTGCACCAATCATAAATATGAAGCAGTTGCCAAACATCCAAATCTTGACCACAGGGATGCTGCAATGGTCATAAGCGTGAAAAATGTCACTATTTTCAATGACATAACTTTGAACAGTCACTAAACGAACTGTCATAAGTTGAGGACTACCCCTGTTGTCATTCATATTTGATGGCATAGCCAGGGGGTGGCCTGGGTGCCCCCAAGGTGGAAGGAGAGCACAGGGTTTCCATTAAGACACCTGTCTCTCTTTCCAGTCTAATTTGTGCAAATCCATAGCAAAATAAACGTTTTTCGGTAAAGGAGGTTTAACCTTCAGTTTTAATGACTGTTTCTCTTGACAAAACAAGAACAAGAGGAGAATATTTGTAGCTCAGGCTTAAGAGGAGGGGGCCTTAGGGTGCTATCTGAACTTAGTCAACCTCTGAATAACGTTCAGAATAAGCTCTCCGCGATCGGAACCTGGCTAGTTCCTGGCTCTGAAAAGCAGGGGGATGCGCAGGGAATTACATTGGTAGTCGAATGAAATTAAAAAGTCTGGTGTTGATCAGGATTATGGTGATTAAGAATCCTGCATTGAAACTGAATTAAAAAGAATAAATGAGTTGTAATATGTAATTGTCTATAGCTCAGGAAATGCATGACAGGAAACCACAAATAAAGGCAATTGGGTTTGCTAAATAGTATTTTTTTTCTAAATATGCTTCTGAAATGAGGCAAGCCACGATATTGCAGCAATTTCTGCTTTTTATCTATTTCCATGCAAACGGCTGTTTTCTTGCTTATGTAACCATGTAAACCACATAAAGTATAAAAACTATGTCGAATAGATCATTTGGGGTTCTTCCAGCTTTAAAAGTTCTTCCCACTTTTATATAGAGCTAAGTAAACATGACTGGGAGAGAATTAAATTTTGCCTCTTTGCTTCTGCCAGGCCAGGCCTAGATTTCCTGCTTGGCCCTGGTGCAAATCTCTTAGCTTAGAATCCATTTTGGTGTTTTGTTTTCCTTGGGAGGTGAAAGTAGGCTTCAAAAAGTCATGTTGCAAACTTTAATTACTGGATTGTTTACCACTTCCTGAGATAAAATTACTTAAAGGGACATAATTACAAATGATCTGCTTCTTAATTATATTAGCAATAGGGGGGGACGATTCTTGAATATTTCCAAAATATTTGGTATATTTATTAGAATATTGAGTCTATTATTTATTCTACATCCTGTATTTTTCCCAGCCTGCTTGATGTTTTATTCAGGTTTCTAAGGCTGCTGGTTTTCTAGATTGGTTGCTTTCCCTAGTTTTTTTTTTTTTTGGGGGGGGGGGGAATCTCATTTTTCAAGGGTTTTGTGAGCTGGACCTCTGTATCATTACTTTTTTTGGATAGAGATAGGTACAGTATGTTCGTATGTTTCTATATCTTGACACGGTCTTTTATCAGACTTTTTCAAGGTCCTCTGATATATCAGAGCTGATCTACGGGAAGAACAGTGCCTGCTTCTTGGAGAAAGCATTAAACTATTTTAAAGAAGAAGATGAGGAAGAAGAAACAGAAGACGATGAAGAGGAGGAGTGGGACACAGACCTTGAAATAGAAAGTATGGATTAGACAAATTGCCAAGCTACTTACAATTGCCAAGGTTGGGAAACATTGAACTAGATCCAGAGAGACTTAAGATAATGAATGAATGAATGAATGAATGAATGAATGAATGAATGAATGAATGAATGAATGAATGAATGATAGCTAGCTAGCTAGCTAGCTAGCTAGCTAGCCTTTAGTTCATCTTTAACTATGGAAGCTCCCTGGATGACTTTGGGCCAATCAGCCAGATCAACTTACATCTCAAGGTTGTTATGGGAAAAATAGAGTAAGCAACATGGAAACCATCTTGAACTATTGATAATAAAGGCAGGATATACATGTGTCAAACAGATAAAGAAATAAAGAGCTCTCAAAGATTTGTTGGCAATTAAGTAAGCATCGGGTATTCCTTCCCCATCAATCTGATAGAAGTCTTAGACAATCTCATGAGAATTTGGCTGCTCTTTAATTAACTTTTGTAACCTTTCATTCTTGTAATGTTTAATTCTAAATATCTGATGCCCTGGTGCATCTGCCTGCACCTGCCTGCTTTGAGCGGCCAACCTGCAGTGTGAGCAGTGAATATTCTGCCTGTTAGCCTGGTTTCCACAAATGTGTCTTATTTCTTTTTAAGCCAAGTAATTGTCGGTAGTCATTTTCAAGGCATTGTGACTTTGATGCAGATCTTGTAAGTTTCAAAACAAACACACCAAACTCTTGTGAATTGCCTTGAGAAAGTCATTGTCCCTTCTGTATTTTTTGCATACAAGACCACTGAACATCTGGTTCAGGCATGCCTCACTGGGGACAGTGGTGGGACTTGGACGGGTGCTACAGTTTTTAAAGTCACTTTGCTCTTGCACTGCTTGAAACTGCAGATGCTTCCTGGGCCTGGTTGTTTTACAGAAAGCCAAGAATGACCATTGCTTTCATTTTCCCTTTTGTCTTGGCCTAGGCTCTACAATATGCTACGATCCTGCCGGGAAAGCCAGATACCTTGCGATCTGTCAAGCATATGGCGTGGTTCCTATCTCTTACTTTTTACGGCATATGAAAGATTCTGAACTGATTCTGAACCATCGTGGTCTTAATCCTAAGGTAATTGGCCTGGCCACTTCAGGACTTGCTTTCAACTCTGCAAGTATGAATCTCCTCACTGCCTTTGAACATTCTCTCTTCCCCCCTCCTTTTTTTCCATCTGCGTTGCACTTGGGGGAATATTATATTCCTTTACAGAGTTATTTGTGGGAATACTCAAGGAGCATTACAGCACCAACACTTACACCATTGCAGAAATATGCAAGGGCCTGATTAAGTTTTACCTTCAAATGTTCAAGGTGTCTTATGGAGAAAAATGAGTTAAGCACACCTAAGACAATACGATTGTTAGTAGCAAAGCGTAAGCGACCAATTTGGTCAACCTAAAATAGAGAAACAAAACAGACCAGTTGAAATGACAAAGTGGTAAAGACATCCTTGCCTGGCACTGATAAGATTGCAGAGCAGGCTCAGAGGACAGTCTTCTGTCACAACACAGAACTGCCACTGCTGAGCCTTTCATGAGGAGAGCCAGAGGGCTGCCTGATGAAGCACACAGAGGAAAAGAGTCCTTCCAGTCCTTCATTCTGTAACTTTAGGCAGGCGCCTGTTTCAGTTTGTGACCATTTGTCCCAAATGAGGATGGTTCTGTACTTAAAAGTTACTGGGCCAGTTCCTGTTAAAGCAGCCTCCAGGGTCTTAACCATCTCAGCTAAACGGGACTTATGGAGTCAAAGGCAGCAGGTGTTGCTGGCATATGGTGGAGCCCCCCCCCCCCCCCCAAGACCTGTGCTTGATCTATATGGGAAACTGGAGTCCAGATGCACTCATGTGGCAGTACAACTTTGCTGCCCACTTCCAGGCTGCAGATCAGGAGACGTGACCTCGTTTTCATTTCATGGCTGCTGAAATAATCCATCAGGCTCTGCAGTGCAATGTCACTGGGAGGTGACTGAAAGCAAAGCTGGATGGGGCTGTCTTTGTCCAGCACCTCTTCTGACCCTTCATTTCCTTCTCTCTTCCTTAATCACTGGTGTTGCTTAGCTGGAGGTCTAAAAAGGCCCCTCGCTAATGGCTTTTCAGTTGTGGCAGAGCCTCTTGTGAAATGAATGGCCATGCCAGCTCCCTCCCAGACTGCAGTTGGCCTCCCCCAGGCCCCCAAACTTTCACCACTTTTTGTCTTTGTCTGTTGTTGTATCCCCCCCCCCCCTTGTTTGTTAGCCGCCCTGAGTCCCTCGGGAATAGGGTGGCATACAAGTGTAATAAACATTGAACAACAACAACCACTGGCCAGAGGACCGGGCTAGATCTCAGCATTCTGCCCTCATGGCTCTTCCCTCCTCTGCCTCTTCTTTTAGGCAGCCAAGGCTCTCGCTCTTTCCCTGACCAGCAACACATCCATCCTGAAGCTGAACCTGAGTGACAACGGCCTTGATGCAAACGGAGCCATTGTGATAGCGGAGATGTTAAAGGAAAATTGCTACATTTCAGGTGCACGTCTTCATTGGGAGATTGTGAGAATTGCTTCAGGAGAGCAAAATGGAGAGTCCATGTAATCCGTAGCCTTGAGGTATTTGGGCTTGGCTGTTAAAACCATTGTCAGATGATGCCCTCTAAAGTTTCCATTTTTGAAAAGCAGCGATTTACTCTTCATATAATGTAGCAGCAAAGCTTGAAGCTGTGTTGAAACAGTTCTTAAGAATTTAGTCCTCTTGACTTTTACACCGGGAAACCCAAGCCTAAGGATTGCTAATGAAATGGTGGCTTATAAGTTTGTTTATTTGCTTTACAACATTTATGTGCTGCCCCCAAATAAAGACTCCATGTTTGATGGGTTGAAGTGAGGAGTGCCTTTCTCCAAGGGATCCTCCATGAAACCATTTCATTCCTGGTCAAAGGAGGGATTGAGGAACAAAGGCATGTTGGGCTAATGGGTCTGGGGGATTTTACATGGTAAGCCACAGCTAGAGATCAACCTTCTTCTCTTTCAGAACTTGATTTATCCGACAACAGAGTCGGGATGAAAGGGGCGGAAGCTCTCTCCACAATGCTTCGAGAAAATCCAGTTCTTGTGACCATGAAACTTTCAGGAAATGAATTAAATGACAGGGCAGCCAAACATCTGGCAGATGCTTTAGTGACCAATCAGAAAGTGAAGCACCTTGATCTGAGTCATAACATGCTTGGAGAGCCAGCAGGTAAATCTCATAGAAATATTGTATTTGGCTGTAGTGTGGGAAGCGCTGTGTAGCACATGTGAGAAAGACACACATCTACGTAGACATGCCATTTGTGTGTTCATGGCCCTTTGGTTCCAGGTCACCACATACCTTTAAGGGAATATGAATTGTTAAATTAAGGGCCAGCTGTGGTTTTCATCAGCTAAGAACTAACCATTAGGGTTTACTTTTGTTGGGGGGAAAGAATTGCTGGGCTGTGACTCCGGCCCACCTTCCCTCCCTTCCCCCTTTTCTTCCCTTGTTACCTGCTGTGGCTTGGAATCTCCTCCTTTGCCTCATCCCATGAAAGGGTTTGACTTCCCACCAGCCCCATCTCTTTCTTCTCCTTATGTTTTGAAGAAGACTTTGTGATTTGATGGAGAACAAGCGGGGACAAAAGGAAGAGAGAGAGAGAGAGAGAGAGAGAGAGAGAGAGTATGCAGAAAATAGGGAAGAGCTACCAAAGTTGAGAAAGCGAAAAAGAAAATTAAGGTAGGGATTAGAAAGTTGGGCTCACTTAAGCTTCTGTCTGCCCTTTAAGAGTTTTATCTATTGGTTTACCAAAAGAATTGCTTCTTGAAATAGAATTATTAATGTGTAAAACTAAAATTGTGTAGGAGTAATTAAAAGTATAAAAAGTCATTAAAATAATTTCTTTTTCGCTTTCT